ATTTTTATTGCCCACAGACTAGGAAATTCCCAGGCGGAGGAGCTCCACAGGTCACCAGTGTGGCTGTTTCGGCCAGTGCGGCTGTGCTGGCCGGCGCCGCTGCTTTGCCCCACGCGGCTGCTTTGTCGGTGCCCCGGAGCAGCAGTTCTCCGTACAAAATACACCAGTCCGGGAGCCCTTTTGGCTGGCGACTGGAGCCACGGGAAGTCGCCCATTCGTCTGTTTAAAAAGGGGACTGAGCAGGGAACCAGGACAGTAGATTCCAAGGCAAAAAAAGCAAACAAAAAAAAGCGCCACAAACTCAGTGCCGCTGTTTAAGCCAGCGCAGTGAATGGCCGCAGGGGAAAACAAACAGACCCCGGCGCCTCTTCAACAGGCGACTGGAACACCAGCTTAAAAAAAGGCTCTGAGGCAGGGAGCCAGGCGATCAGGCTCGGCTGGTCCCACCCCCACAAAAGAACAACAAACAGAAACTCTGGATTGAGTGTTTCACAGCAAGCGCAGCTGAACCTGAGATGGTCCAGCTCTGTGGGGAAGGAGCATCCGCCATTACCGAGGCAGCCCGCCACAATGGAGGTAGTTGCCCAATGCTGAGGCAGCCCGCTGTTGCCAAGGCAACCAGTCATTGCTGAGGCAGCCCGACGTTGCCAAGGCAGCCTGCCATTGCAGAGGCAGCCCACCGTTGCCCGCGACTACAGACAGACTCCGCCTCAACAGAGGCGTGCCACCATCACCAAAGTAGTTCTAACTACACCCATATAAACAGGACCGCAGGGAAGTTCACTCAGCAGCTCGGCAGAGCCCACAGCAGCTCAGCAAACCCTCTACAGGCAGACAGTGACTAGGCTGCCTCCTTGCTGGGCAGGGCAGGTCAGAAGGAAAAAAAAAAAGGAAGGCAGCAGCATAACGCAAACTCATAAATAAAGCCCTAATCCCTGGGACAGAGCACCTTGAAACAAAAAGCAGTTTATGAGTTCTGCTGCAGCAGACCTAAACCTACCTGCCCAGCAGCTCTGAATGAACAACAGAGCTCACAGCTCAGCATTTCAGCTCCTATAAAGAAGAGACCATCTACTGAAGCAGCTCGCTGACCCCTATATATCCAAAGAGACACCTCATAAAGGAGAGATCAGATTGACACTAGGCGGGTATCCTTCTGGGACAAAGATAGCAGAAGAAGAAAACTGGTAAAAACCCTTACTGTTCAGCAGCTGCTGCAGGTGCACCCCAGGCAAGCAGGGCCTGGAGTGAACCTCAGCAGACCTACAGCAGAGGGGCCAGACTGTCAGAAGGAAAACCAAGAAACAGAAATAACCTCATCATCAACAAACAGAACGTCAATCTGAAATATTTGAGACCCAATCTGAAAGCCAGCAACTACAAAGTCGACAGGTGGATAAATCCATAAACATGGGAAGAAACAAGCACAAAAAGGATGAAAACACCCGAAACCAGAACACCTCTCCTCCTACAAGGGATCACAACTCCTCACCAGCAAGGGAACAAGGTTGGAGGGAGAACGAGTGTGATGAAATGACAGAATCAGACTTCAGAAGGTGGGTAGTAAGAAACTTCTGTGAACTTAAAGAACATGTTCTAACCAAATGCAAAGAAACTAAGAACTTGAAAA